TACTACTACTACTACTATTATTATCATTATCAATATCTTTATTACTCCTTACTTTTTAAATTCCATATTTTTTAGTTGTTTCACTTGATACGGTTCTTTTAAAAAATAAATTTAATTCTATTTAAAAAATATAAGAAGAAAGAACATGAAACTTTTTGTGTGATTATAATTTATGTAGACTAAAATAAATGATATGAAGCACAATTGTTTTCTTAAAAATGAAAAATAATAAACTTTAGAAACAAGCTAAATAGAAACCCGAGAAAGTAATCTTTAATTATTAGACATCGGAAAGCACCCGAGAAAATAATAAACATTGATTATCTATATTAAATAACATTTTAGTGCATATATAAATTAAATAATTATTCTAATGTTTATATAAACTAATTATTAAAATATTAAATCAATATTATTCATTAAAAAAATCATAAAATAAAAAATATTATTACATTGTAATATGAATGATTATTCTAATATATGAGTTAATTAATTTTGTTTCATTAAAAAATAATCATAAAAAATATTGATTATATTATAATATGAATTATCATTACAATTTTCAATCAAATGAGAACCAATCAGATCAGATCAGATCAGATCTTATCAGATCAGATCAGATCTAATCAGATCAGATCAGAACTTATTAAAATCAGATCAGATCAGAAAAAATAAGTTGAACGGAACGGAGCCTAACTGCCTTAATTACCAACAAAGCATCTCTCAAAGTTGGTTGCTCACGAACACTATCAAATGGACATAACTCATACATGTGTTTCGGAAAGCCTTGCGAACTCAAGGTCTTTATACCAATTTGGCTGAAGAAAGCCAACAAAAAACGATGTGGTGTTGTCTTGTAGGTTTGATAGTTATCATGGATTAATAGATTTTTGATACCATAAACTCCGCCCTCCATAATTTGTTCTTCATAATGAGAATCATATGGTTTTTTCCATGATAATGAATCCTTGTACCCTATTTCAATCCAACTCTTATACGGAGTAATAAGTTATTTTATTACTAATAGTTTCATGCACTCTTTTTTATTCATGACGAAAAGAATGAAAAATTTTATCTTGTATGCGTATTAAATTTTTTATGTGGTCATGTTTGTAAGTGTATGATTACGTTGTAAATAAAAAAATTATGCATAAAATTAAGAAATGAATTTATGTATGAAAGTAATAACCGATAATCCATTGTCAATTTCATCACGTCTACCATATTTTAATATAAAAAATTTGTAAAAAAATTAATCTAATAGTAAAGAAATTGAAGAGAAATACTTGATTCGTTGATGGTAATGGAAAATAACCTCCATTAATTCTCCAATCCTACCAAAAGCACTAATTTTGCATACATGAACAACTCTAACATGAATGGTCACCGTAGTTTGCAAATTGAAGAGACATACTTCATCGTTATGGAAAATAACCTCCATTGGATGATATTTTTTGTTTTGAAGAAGAGATAGTACGAAAGTTTTCCCTTTTTATTGCTGATTGCAAACTCAATTTGTTTTATTTATGTATTTATCTTTTTTATAGCATACATATTTTTTCTGGATATATACACACACTATAAATTAGTCTCCCACCGTCTCAATTTAAGTTACATGTTCACTATTCACACGGTTAAGCTTTAATTACATTTTTTTTCTATTTTCAATGTTTATTTCATAAGATAATACAGTCATGTCATCTTTTGTTTTGTCAAATTTTTAAGTACTTTTTTAATATATAATTTTTATTATTAAATTTCACCTTAATACTCAAATAAAATGAATATAAAATAACTCTAGTCAAACATTATAAATTGAAACAGACCACTTATATTAAGATGGAGGGAGTATAACTAGAATATGTTGTGATTTGAATTTTCTCCCTTTTTCCATTGAAAGTCATTGAATGTTGTTGACCATACCTTTTATGCTACGGAGTAGATTAGTACTCCTATCTAGTAACTCTATACTATTCCGATAATCAATAATTTTTGTTTCCTTATGTCTTTCTATTGATTATTTAATAAAACTAAATATTTTGTGATATTTTATTTTATTAAATTTAACGCAATTTTAAAAATACATATAATTCATATTTTTTATTTCTACGTAAATAAAATAATATTTCTATGAAAAAAAAGATTTAAACGTTGTGCGAAATAAAACAAAATTTTTGGGACGGAGACAATATTCTTTACTTCTTCCGGCTTAATGTATTCATCAAGTTTGACTTTTTTCTAGTTAACCTGGATGGATTTTAAGCTTTATTTAAATTAAAATTGTCATGTATATTAATATAAAAGTAGTTTTATTAAATTAATCTCGTTGAGACATTTCAAAATTTTATTCCATTATATTAACATTAAATATATTTTGATTCAAAAAAGTCAAACTGAACAAATAAAATGGGGGACATAATATTTTTTATTCTTTTAGAACTGAAAAGCAACAATTCCGGAACGAGAAAGGTAAGGCCGACGTGTCCATCCCAATTCCCAGCACACCCACAGTCATTGCCTATATAGCACCACATGCCCCGCAACCCCAAAAATCGTACATTTTCTTCTCCGTGGAATCCCCACTACTCCGCAGATCAATTCCCCTCTCTGGTTCTCCGTTTCAATTCTCAAATCCTCTTTGCGCATCAGAGACGACGAGCGGAGCGAGGAGCGGCGGCGGCGGCCTTTGAGGAAGTGTAGAGAAGACACACTATTCTTCGCTGTATGTCAGAGGAGAAGTATTGCTGTTCCCACGGAGATCAGTATTACGGCGGTTACAGTGAGCTCGCGAACCCGTTACAATGGCCTCAACTCCGAAAAAGGCGGCGCAGCCATCCGGTAGTGACTCCCTCGGCGTCCTCGCGGCCGCCGCGGACAGCGAGGTTCTGCAGGAATGGACCGCCTCCTCTGTCGACCACCGCCAGATCAGCCACCGTAAATCCGCCGCAGCGGCGGCGGCTTCTTCTCCTCTGGCGGCCGTGATCGACTCTGTTGAAGAGCCTCCTCCATCGAATCTACAATCATCTAAAGGTATATTCGTCCAATCGGTCGTACAATCGATCGTATATTCGTATCTATACCGTATGTCTGTGGAATGTTTGTCACTTTCTCTTTATCTAGCTGTACTCTGTAACTTAGATGCATGCATTGGATTAGGAATTTTATCTTCTTCTTTTTAGGTGTGTGGCCACACGCGCTGGCAATTCACTTTTTTTAATCTGTAACTTTTGTCCATTAGAAATTATTGATGTCAATCACAGTAATTTTTTGTCCTTTGATGTTGGAGAGCAATGAGTCCCATAGGTATGCTAACTTGTTTTGTGATGGTGATTAACTGATTATAGAATATTTTTCTCCTGTTGCTATTCTCTGTACACGATTATTCAAAGTTGGACGAACTTTCTGATTCTTTTATTCCATTGATTCGTTGTTTATGGCTCCATTGGCGAAGATCTTCTGTGCTGAAAGCTAATATTCCAATGTTTTGCTACTTTAGGACTAATAAGCACAATGAGGGCTCAAAGCCGGCATCCGTTGGATCCCTTGGCTGCTGCTGAGATCTCAGTAGCAGTGGCAACTGTCCGGGCAGCCGGTGCAACTCCTGAGGTTGCTGTTGTTTTTTGCTTGGAATTACTGGCTTCACTACATTGAAACTGGTTTTAAAAGAGTTTTTGTTAACTGTATTGGCAAGGTTTTAGGTAAGAGATAGCATGCGGTTTGTTGAAGTTGCTTTGGTTGAACCACATAAGAATGTGGTAGCACTAGCGGATGCCTACTTTTTCCCTCCGTTTCAACCGTCATTGCTACCCAGGACTAAAAAGGGGCCTGTAATTCCCAGTAAACTTCCTCCTAGGCAGGCAAGACTTGTAGTTTACAATAAGAAGTCGAATGAGACTAGCGTCTGGATTGTCGAACTCTCGGAGGTACATGCTGTAACTAGGGGTGGCCACCACCGGGGGAAAGTCATTTCGTCAAAGGTTGTGCCTGATGTACAGCCTTCAATGGTATGAGGCTCATTTTTAATGCAATTAATCTTACCGGTTTAATTGTAAAGCTAATTATCTGGATGAGCGCTATACATACATGCCATAAGACATTCCTGTGGATTTGATATCAACTTCTCCATCATAACCATGGTAGCCCAAATAAAATTAAGTTAAATGAATAAAAGGCAGGAGTTCACACCCATTTGAAAGCATGGGAGTTTTTGCATTGATTGCTTAAGGTAATTCATTCTTGAAGTTCATTTCAGGATGCTGTTGAATATGCTGAATGTGAAGCCGTTGTGAAGGATTTTCTTCCTTTTCGGGAGGCAATGAAAAAGAGAGGCATCGCGGACATGGATCTTGTGATGGTCGATGCCTGGTAGGCTTTGGCATTCTGTTTACCCGGTGTATTTCTTAGTTGCACCGTCTTTTTTTTTCACTAATTCATTTTTTTATTCTTCAGGTGTGTTGGTTATCATAGTGAGGCTGATGCACCTACACGCAGACTTGCAAAACCGCTTATTTTCTGTAGAACCGAGAGCGATTGCCCAATGGAAAATGGCTACGCTCGTCCTGTAGAAGGAATTTACATACTGGTTGATATGCAAAATGTGGTTGTTGTAGAGTTTGAAGATCGGAAATTGGTCCCCTTACCCCCTGCCGATCCGTTGAGAAATTACACTCCTGGTGAAACTAGAGGCGGGGTTGACCGAAGTGATGTGAAACCACTTCATATCATTCAACCTGAAGGTCCTAGCTTTCGCGTCGATGGACACTTTGTCCAGTGGCAGAAGGTACTTTAGTTGGCAGCGAATGAATCTCTGGTTTGTCTCATCACAACATGCAGATTTTTTTTTGTCTAATTCAAATGGCTTTTTGTTCTTAGTGGAACTTCCGCATCGGCTTCACCCCCAAAGAAGGCTTAGTTATCTACTCAGTTGCGTATGTTGATGGTAGTAGAGGCCGTAGGCCGGTGGCTCACAGGTTAAGCTTTGTTGAGATGGTTGTTCCTTATGGGGATCCAAATGATCCACACTACAGGAAAAATGCATTTGATGCAGGGGAGGATGGCCTTGGTAAAAATGCACACTCGCTGAAGAAGGTCCTGAGTTAAATACATTCTACTCTCAAATGTTGAAGTGAAATAATATGTTTCTATCCATCTTTACTGTGCTTGACCGTATAATGCTAGTTTCCCACTAAGAAAGAGTTTTGCTTTCATTGCAGGGATGTGATTGTTTAGGCTACATCAAGTACTTTGATGCACACTTCACAAATTTCACAGGAGGCGTCGAAACAATTGAGAATTGTGTCTGCATGCACGAGGAGGATCATGGAATCTTATGGAAGCATCAAGACTGGCGAACTGGCTTAGCCGAAGTAAGGCGCTCGCGACGGCTCACAGTGTCTTTCGTATGCACCGTGGCTAACTATGAATATGGCTTCTTCTGGCATTTTTATCAGGCAAGTTATTCGGGTCCATATGGGTTCAATAGAACAAATAAATCTTTCTGTTGATATTTACTGAAAGGCATCACAATTTCACTCCAGGATGGGAAAATTGAAGCTGAGGTTAAGCTTACTGGTATTCTCAGTCTTGGTGCTTTGCAGCCTGGTGAAGTTAGAAAATATGGCACCACTATTGCACCCGGTTTATACGCACCCGTGCATCAACACTTCTTTGTGGCCCGTATGGACATGGCGGTTGATTGCAAGCCTGGAGAAGCACATAATCAGGTTTACTTTTCATCACTTCAAAAGCAACAAAAAAACATTTATTTAATATTAGTATTACTTTTTTACGGTAAATCTTGTTCGTCTGTAGGTGGTGGAGGTAAATGTTAAAGTTGAAGAGCCGGGAGAGAATAATATTCATAACAATGCATTTTACGCAGAAGAGAGGTTGCTCAAATCCGAACTGGAAGCCATGCGTGACTGCAACCCTTTATCAGCTCGCCATTGGATTGTAATGCTTCTTCGCTCGTTCTCTGTGGTTTTGTGTTTAAAATTTTAGTTTTTTTCCCCTTACCTGTGATTATGTGTTTATGATGATGGTGGCAACAAACAGGTCAGGAACACGAGAACCGTAAACCGCACTGGACAGCTAACAGGGTACAAGCTTGTGCCTGGCTCCAACTGTTCGCCGCTAGCTGGTGCAGAGGCAAAGTTTCTGAGAAGAGCTGCTTTCCTAAAACACAATTTTTGGGTCACGGCCTATTCACCCGACGAGATGTTTCCTGGAGGAGAGTTTCCTAATCAGAATCCACGCATTGGAGAGGGATTGGCTACTTGGGTCAAACAGGACCGATCTCTTGAAGAAACTGACCTTGTTCTCTGGTTAGTATGTTTCATATTTTACATTTTACCACCCTCTTTCTTATACAGACTACAGTCAAAAGGAAATGCGTTATATTGAGGTAGAAGGATGTATGTCTATTAACTGGTGCAATTACAATGCGGGGTTTTCAGGTATGTGTTTGGAATAACACACGTTCCTCGGCTGGAAGACTGGCCCGTCATGCCTGTGGAGCACATAGGTTTCACTCTCATGGTAATCTACTCTTCTGTTTGATTCACTTCTTTTCTATATTTGCACGCGAACCTCCTCAACTCGAGGGATTTAGGATGACTTCGGTTTGCATCTTCCAAACAATGGGATAAAAACCTTAGTATAAATTGTATTATAATCTTAGTCTGATTCAGATTCTAAAACTGGCAAAATTTGTCGCGCATATGCCCATGAATCCAATGATGAGAAAACATGCGTACAACAAATTTTGGGTCGGTTCATGTGACATTGAGATCAATGTTGTAGCATATGATGTACTTATGTTGTCACTTTTCTTTTAAATGATTTGCAGCCACATGGATTCTTTAACTCCTCTCCAGCAGTTGATGTTCCGCCGAGCTCCGCCGCCGAACCGGATCCCAAGGAAAACGGAGGGGTGACAAAGACTTGCCATACGCCACCATTGGTTGCAAAGCTTTGATTGCAAGGGAAGGTTGCTGCTTGTGTTTCCTATGTTCTCTCATGCCTTATAATATCTCTACAATACTGTTGATGGTTTTCTTTTTTTAGCAAGACTTTGTGGATCCTTAAGTACTGGGAATTTCATTTTATTTTTTCTTTTAAATGTAAAAAGAAAAAACAGTATCTGGTCCTACATTCTCATGGTTCAAAAATCACAACTATTTTGATCTAAGTAGGTTGTCGTTGTTGCCCTTATAACAAAAACATGATATTTGAAGGGACTAATAACATATATAAGCCTTAAAAAAATAAAGGAGCCTCTCCATTCGGGTCTTTCCCAAGTACCACCCAAATAGGACTTTTTTTTCATCTTTTTATAACATCGACAAGATCATGTTCCATAGGAGAAGAGACTACAAAGACAAATCAAACTTACCGGAAAAAAAAAACCAAAAAGNTGAATTAACGAGACGAATGTGAAGCACGCCAGTTATCGGCAAGGATCATTGCTTGACTGCGAGAATATGGGGACAGTTGTTGTAGTGCAGCATTCTTTACATGGCTTGCAGCGGCCTCACCAGCACGTGTTGCAAGTTCCAGGTACACTACAGCATTCATCATATCCCCTTCCTGCAATATACACATACAACATTTTAACACACACATCAATTTCGACCTATAAGCACTCGGTGGGCTACACACAAAGATGTCATCAATAGGCATATAGATAATCCTCCCTCCCTCCCGGAACCAAACCCATAGTTTGATTTTTCTGGTCACAGTTTATAAGCTTTTACCATCTTAAACCAAACAAGGGGAGGTGGCTCATTTTCCCTGCCCTTCCAACCCTTTGCCCCCAAACCAAACATGCCCTTAGACTATCTGTAGTACTTCACTTGGCTCACCCCAAAAGTGCAGCCAACTCAGTGCCACATCATCGCTGACTGCACTCACTTAACATGCAACTTCACTTGGACTTCGATGATTATACAATTATAAGTTTTATTTTCTATTTATATATTTTCAAATTAACAATATCAGAAAACGTAAATTATATTTAAAAACAATTCATAAATAAAACACAATACTTTTTTTTGAAATAAATACAACATCCTACTTACAAATTAAAACATAGTTTGTTCCAAAAAAAAATTACATAACATGGTTTCAAATAAAAACTACTCATCGGCCTCGTACTTTTTCCTAATTTTTTCCTACCCCTTCTCAATCAGAGCTTGCATCTTTCAAGATATGGGGTGAAAGATGAAGAAAAAATGAGGAAAATATGGAGAGAGTAAGAGTGAGAATGAGGGGGTGAAAATTAATTAAAATGATGGGTGTATAATGGGTGGAGAATGGAGTGTTTAGAATTTAAATTTGATCTTTTTAGAGTTACCGACTTCCTGTTGAAATAGTTTTTTTTAATGGGGATGGAGCAAAGCCGGCCAAACAATGCTCCTCACTGAACCCCCCCATCATGACCTGGGGGCTGGGGGCGTTTCATGCCTGTCACACCACCATACATGGTCCATGCCAGCGGGGATCACTCCTCCAAAATGGTGATGCATTACAGATAGCCTTAGGGAGAAGGTGAGTATTGAGATTTAAGATGTTCAGTTTACAGAATGTGACATTACCTAATGTGATTGAGGGTTATGTAATATATTCTCACATCACCTTAATATTACCGTATACTACTCTTAAGTTTGTCTTTGACAACATCAAAGACAATGGTAATCTCATATTCTCATTAACTAACATCCCCTGACCTTCTCCACTAATCTCACCGTCCAAATAAATATCACAATTCAATGAATTCATGAACCAAACGCCTCCTAAAGACTGCCTACGTGAGTATGTGGGTTCTAGATAAACCAATTCCACTTACAGATAAAAGATGTAGCCCATGTTCGAACTGAGCTTTGCAGTGACCCCGATCGGCTGCCTTCTTCATCCATTTCCTCCCCAATTTATGTGACTGCGCCAACCCCTCTCCAAATGAATAGCACAATGAAGTGTTATACATGGCACGCACGTATCCACCTTCGGCAGCTTTCAGATACCACTTGGCCTGTCAAGGTAGTGCACAAACCATCAAAGACATTCTTTTCGGAAGCAAGATCGAACGAAAAAAAACGACAATTAATTACGACTATTTTAGCTCCATTGGCAATGGACATAAATGAAAAAGCAAACTTTTTTTTTACGAATTTTTATGCACCCTGTGATTGAAATGGGAGATTAAAGCGTCGTAAATGTATGAGATTAAAGAGTGTCATACGGCTTCCTGAAAATTCTTATGCACGCCGCGACCCTGATGGAAACACAGTGCAATTTGGTACTGAGCACGAACATGACCGGCAACACAAGCTCTATACAACCACTTAACACCCTCTTCCCATTTTGAAGTCTCACCTACACCACACCACACCATTCATCGTTAAATGGAAAAACAGTTCTATCTTCTTTAATAAGTTTTCTGTGCATTTCATAACAAAAGTAGCTACAAGAACTAAACTATTCGATTTTCCAGAAGTTTTCTGTGCATTTCAGTTCAGTAGAATGAGTAGATTCCAATTGAAAAGAACATATACTGCAATTCACAGTTCCATCTATATGAATCAGATCAAATATGAAGGATGAAATCTGGGGAAAGGATAAGAACTCAACTTCAATACCTTGCAAGAAACAGATTCCCAAATTGCACTGGCCGGTGGGGTCGCCGAGCACGGCTGCCTTCCTGTACCAATCGATTCCCTCCTCCTTCCTCCCCATCTCCCAATACAAGAGCCCGGCCTCCACCATGGAGAGAGTGGACCCACGCGCCGCCCCTTTGAGGAAGCAATCGAGGGCTTTGGCCAAGTTGGGCTTGACCTCGCCGCGGCCGTGCTTGAATCGCTTCCCCCAGCTGAGGAACAGCATCGCCTCCCTCAAGGGGCGGAGCGCGTCGCCCCACGATTTGCAGGCCAGCGACGCCGCGCGGAGGTCGCTCCACGAGAAGGCCGCCGCGATCTTCCCCAGCACGTCGTAGGGGAGCTGAGAGTAGTCCCGCTGGGGGGCACGGCCGGAGTGCGGATCGGAGAACGGCGGCTTCGAGCTCCTCGATTTGCAGGAAGCCCGCGGGTCGGGTCGGGTGGCGGCCTGTTTCTTGACCAAATGGAGCGCGATGAAGGGGGGAGGGCTCTCGAACTTGGGCGGCCATGTCCTCTGCTTCATCCCGCCGGGCGGCGGCGGGGAAGAGTCAAGAGGCGCGTCGGTGGGGGGAATTGGGAGTTGGTTGGGTCTGTGAATGGAAGGAATTTATCCATGCCACTTTCATTGTGTCAATTGTGTGCCGCCATTCTTTACTCTTCAGAGGTAGAAAATCCGTAGAATCAATTCATGTTCCTCAGAGGGATCCTTTGAGTTAACCAATTCTATCATTTTTTTACATGGTTAAAATCATATAAAAAATAGGATTAATCTATTTGTACATCAGAATTTGTATCTTATTTTGTACCCCCAAAGACATATACTGACATCTTGTGTTATTGTGATGCTAGTGTGATGGTTTACCTTGACAAAAATGTCAGTGTAAATATTTTTGTGATTTAACATTTTATGTCAATACACCTTTGGTATACCCTTTAGCATGATTGAAAAAATACTTCTTATTTTCATCCTAAAATTAATACGGAGTACTATGTAACTTATTTTATTTTGAAAATAGATCAAACTAAAAGTAAAATATACTGAGTATGACATATCTTTAAAATAAAAATTCAATCTTAAACTCATCTAAATAAGAATAACTGACTTAATTTTTTACTATAATATTTGAGACTCATGTCTCTAATAAGTAGACACATGAATACCATATGACACAAGAATAGATTACATGACATTTTTAAATGTTCATTCATGATTTATGAAAAAAAATTAATGATAATCTTTAAAATATGATGAGTTAAAAATAATATGTTTTATATTAAAAAATTATGGATTTTTGAATTTATTGAAAATTATGTAAATGAAATAAATTTTATAATTTTCAACAAAAATTAAATGAATTATTCATAAAAAAGAAATTATTCATGATTAGTCCACGCCTTTTTTTCATAAAAACAACAATGATTTTAAAAGTATTTTGAGTAAATATAGTTTTTTAAAAATTATTAATCTATTCTTTAGTATGAAAATTTATTGAGCTAAAATATAGCTTATTTTATACCACCTAAATAAACATGTGATATTTATTAAACAAAATTAGTGCTTAGGGGTTTATGTAACTTATATGATTTTTAATATGAAAAAAATTGTGGTTTGATGTATTCCATAACTTTTTTTAATAATTAAAATTTCCTTAAATATATAATAGAGAATATATACAATTCTATCAATAAGGAGTGTTCGTAAAAGATAAAACTTTCTTTTGAAATTCATATCATAGTACTGATAATCTTTAGTAAGGTTTATTTATGAAATAAAGAGTGTTCGTAAAAGATAGAACTTTTGTTTTTGAATGAAAGTATTTTCATAAAGGAAATATAAATTTTAAGAGGAATTGTTTTAATCCTCTTTATAAGTAGCACTTTTTGAGCCTTTATTTTTCTTTATTGGAACATATATTTATATTTTATAGTTTCAAGTATCAAACGACAACATATATTTTTGAATAGAATATATTAAAAATTAAAATAGTTCTAGCACTTCCAGTGGTTTGAAAATATGTATAAATACCTCATTTATTTTCAAAATTTATTAAAAAATGTCTATCATTTTAAAAGGTTGCACACACACCACAGCGGTTTGTACTATATATTTTATGTTCAATTTTTCAATAAAACTGGGGTATTGGTACAAATTTTCCAATTCACATGAGCATCAAAGTATATTATTGTTTTTTAGCTTTTTTACAAATATAATTGTTCTTTATAATGTTCTAAAATTCAAATGGTTTTTATTTGAAATAAAAAAAGCAGAATAAAAAAATAATATATGTTTTCTCTATCTAAAATTAAACAGTTTTGTTTTTATATTTTCCAAAGTAAACAAACTATTTTTTATATGATAAAAAAAGAAAAAATTGAATGATGAAAGAAAACAAAAGAAAAATAAAATAAAAAAAGAAAAAGATATAAAAATTCTCTGATTGAAAAGGAAAAATATATTTATAAAGTGCATTGATAAGGCTCTTTACGAGATGTCCAAAAATTAAATTCTTTGGATAAAAATCTTTTAGAATGATAAAAAATAAAATTTTTTGGACCGACGCCTAAGAATTTTAAAATACTGAAAACATATCCTCTTATTATTTTTAAAATAAAAACAATAATCTTTTGAGACATATAAAAAAAATAAAGGCTTTTTTGGACATTTAAAAAAATTGTCACCTTACTCCATGGTTACCCTTTTATCTTTTTCTATTAGAGTATTTTTGTATCTTTTTCTTTTTTTTTTCATTTCCTTTTGCTATTCTTTTTTATTTAATTTTTCTATTCCTCATTTTCTTGAACGTCCCAAAAAGTAGTTTTTTATTTTAGAAAATAAAAAATTAAAATATCTGATTTGAGTGGGATAGAGTATATGTTATTCTTTATTATTTTATTTTGAACAAAAACAATTTTGAACTTTTAAAATATAGTAAGGCATAATTTAAAAAAAAGAAATTTAAAGAAACTTTTTGAAAAGGAAACAAAGAGAAGAAAAAGGAGAAACAAAAATAAAAAATAAAAAATGAATGGAAAATATAGCACAGTGTCCCTATGGTTTAAAAAATGAACACCAATCCACCCACTATCAAACTTTAGTTATGATCCACTCAGGAAACGCTTGAATTTCATTGACATAGAGGTATACATTAAACCTTTTGAGATCATATAAATTTACAGCTATGTAAATCATAGAGACACGAGAGCATAGATGGCTATTTAAACTTTTCGGCTAAGGCTTATCTTTTAAATCATAGAGACTCGAGAGCTATTCACCCATTGTAACACGCAAATTCGTGTAACCCGGCATTATAGGAATTATGGTGAAACGGAAGCAATATTTTAAAACCTTTTTAAAATCATGAAATAAAATGCATAAAACAAAACTTCAAAATACAACATATTGAATTCGGATCGATCCTTTACAAAATGTTGGAAATAGTAGAAGACTTAAATAATACAAATACAATTATGTGGGTCAAGCCCAAAAACCTCAAATGTAATACTTGTGAAAATCATGCATGCCAACAAAGCTATTATGCAGCATCTTCTCTACTCTCGTGTTCCTACAAAGCTTCCATGGAAAAGATATCTTTAAAGTAGAGAAGTCGTCAATGAATTTGCTCTCAGATTACTTTTTTCCTTAAAATGTTCTTTTTTGTTGGATTTCTATCTATTATTTGTTCGGATTTGAGTATGTTTTGTATTGGTGTCAAATTTTAGTATTGATGTTTTAGTTTTGGATTTGAGTATGTTGTGTTGGATTTCTTCTATATTTTTTTCTCCTTCCTGTAGTTTCTTTTCTCTGCGTAGCACATTGCATTATTTTTATAAGGTTTAACTCACATTAGATTTTTTTCTTTTTCGGTCAGTTTAAACTTTATGTTTATTCCTTTTTTAATGTATCAAGATAATAATAATAATGATCCATTAATATTGGAGTATTTTACTGTACTGTATCCATTATTTTACTGTATGATCCACCAAAATAGCATAAAGCGAACTGATTTAGACCGAATTGACTAAAAAAAATCCAATGTGAGTTTAAACCTAAAATAATTATGCAATATGCTGCACAGGGAAAAGAAACGACAGGAAGGAGAAAAAAATTAGAAAAAATTCAACACAACATACTCAAATCCAAAACTAAAACGTCAATACTAAAATTTGACACCATCACAAAACATACTCAAATCCGAACAAATAACAGATAGAAATCCAACAAAAAAGAACATTTTAAGGAAAAAAGTAATCTGGCAGCAACTTCATTGACGACTTCTCTACTTTAAAGATATCTCTTCCATGGAAGCTTTGTAGGAACATGAGAGCAGAGAATATGAGACTGAGCTTTGAATCTGCTGCATCCCCAAGGTGCCCGCCCGAAAGACGAATGAAACTATATGGTTTGCAGGGAAAGGTCTTTCAACTGCAGGGGATCGACTTGAGAAGGTGACCGAGTTAGGGCACATTGGGCAGTTGTTGTCTTTGGGAATGCTATAACATCCCTAATGGATTCGGTGCCCGCCAAAAGCATCACCAACCTATCTATTCCATAAGCAATGCCTCCTGCCACATTTATACACAATAACTTTGAATAACTGCACCTTAAGTTTGGTTGGTTTTGAATCTCTAAAAATCACGAGGGACGAAGATAACATGAACAATAAATGGTTTTTGGAAACAACATTTTGATATAGTCCTTTATTTACCAGAATATAAAACATTGTCAATGATGAGTTCATTAGCTCCATTGATTTATAATAATTCTCACGTCTCCCAGCAATTGTGTCATAAACTAATAACAATCTTTCAAGTGATTGAATGCAACTAGTCTCTCTCTTTTTTTTTATGAAAAACTTGATACAGAATTTTGAGATTTTATTGGATTTTTTTGGGTTTCTTGTTCTAGGAAATTTGAGATTTTACAAAACTACTTCAAGGTTATAGTGCTCCTAAAAACCAATATTTCTATAATAATACTCCAAGAGAATTTTTAGGATTCTCTGATTTTTTAGGCTGAGATTTTTGAGGCATGTCAGCGATCAATATGCAATCTAGGAGGGAGTATTATAGTAAAAATGTTTAATATCTGAGAGCGCTAGCAATAATGATGTGATCTCGGAGTATTCTTGTAGATTCTTAAATTTCCAAGTACTAGCATGAATATTTCCTTTCTTTCATAGAAATTGGTAGTGAAGAAAATTTGTAGTATACCGTGTGGAGGAGCACCCATATCCAAAGCTTCCAAAAGATATCCAAACTTTGCTTCAGCCTGCATAGAAACAAATTGGGCACATAAACATTTTCATATAGGTTGCACTTAATTCACAAAAAAATCGGGGAAAATGATTTCAAGATTTCATGTGTTTAGCAACTAAAAATATTTTCTTGGGGGGAGTTTGTTTGAACAGCTATAGTTTTCATTTTTTTGTATGTTAAACATTAGATCATAGATATATTCCATAGCTTATTTGAAGCAATCATTAACACCTTAATCTCAAAATTCTGGGGTTTGCTCGATAGGAAATCTTATATTCTACAGTTTTTTTTTAAACAATCTTGTATTCTACATGATCACATGATGATGCATGACCAATTCATACGCATCAGAAAAACAATTTGCAGAAGAGCCTGATAGAAATAAATGATTTCTCACCTCTTCAGGGGAGATGCCAACCATTTCCAATACTTTTTGCTGCACCTCGCGCTTGTGAATTCTCAAACTACCTCCTCCAATCTATTTGAGGTAATATAGTATAAAGAATAAATTCCAATAATTAAGGAAATTCTACGTTTAGTCCCCTGCTTTATGAAATTCCATTGGAGGTCCACATTGGTTTTAAACTTTTTCCAGTTTTAGTCCTCCATATTATTAAATACGGAGTACCAACTAAGGTTCTTAAAATTTTGGAACTTTACTACTTTTATTCCTGTAAATGTTTCCTTTTCAGGAAAGGTTTTGATGGAAAAGAGGACCAAAATTTACAATGCTCACAATTAAAGTGAACCTCCAATGGAATTTCATAAATTAGTGGGCTAAATGTGGATTATCCCCAACATTTTTTGAATTTACTTTATTTAACTATATATTGCTGATGGCTGTTTCTAATGTTGCAGTCATACAAAGAGTTGGTAGTGTATGAAATATGAGTAAAAACTTACCTCAACTCCATTGTAAACCATATCATAAGCTAGGGCACGTGCAGAGGCCAAGTTGTTCATATCTTCAGGGCGTGGAGCCATGAAAGGATGATGCAAGGCCTGAAAAAGAGTAAAAATGTTTGATAGAGATGAAAACATAAGAGTAAATTCCCCTATAGAAAATGTAAAGCTTCATGTGGTCATATCAGTGTTGTCTTATCAATTACTTGCTGTTAGGAACGAAAAGATTAAGTATATGCCTTAAGTCATTTCCTTGATCTATGTGAAAGCTAAAAATCATGTTTTATAACAAGGATGAAAGCTGGGAGCATATTACATACATGGCTGGATATCATAAAATTCAAAAAATTGAAATTATCCAAACCTCAAACCTCTGTTCTTGATCGTTCCACTCGAACATCGGAAAATCAGTCACCCACAGGATTGAATGTCTAGACTACATAACCGAAAAACAAAAACATGGTCAGGGCAAAAGTAAACTGTCATCATATGTATTCTCCAATAGTTATATAATATGAAGTCTGAATTTATATACTGTGACCAGCTTACTTCATCTATTAGACCCAATTCATTGGCAATGTGTATTCTCAAACGGTCCAAAGTCTTATTGACCGATGAATGGTGACCCAATGCAAACAAGATAAGATCATCCACACTCGCAGATAATCTCTTAATTAAATTCTCTTTCTGTGTAATATTAAAGCTTGACACGAGCTGGGGAATCCCTTCGATGTCACCTGCAAGCCATATTAGAAACACGGTCAATGAAAGTAATGGTTAAAATTGTTTTTAAATAACTAAAAAAATATTATATTCAAGAGGTTTTAGCTTTACCGTCTTTTAAAACCTTTAAGAAGGGCAATCCCTTGGCACCGGATTTAATTGCTTCTCTGTAAATGTCACCTTTCTTGAGAGCAGTGTTTGAATAGGTTTTTGCTCCCGATGGAACACATAAAGCTTTGATTATCCCTCCACTTTCCAAAACATCTGTAAAAACCTTGAAGCTGGAGTTCAAGAAAATGTCAGACACCTGCAGGTGCACAAAAAACCCAAAAAAAATATCACTGGCAATTTCAATGCAACATTAAATGAAAAAGAAAAAACAAGTATATATCTCTTGAGTGTATATTGATAGAAATCTCAAAACAAGATTGTTAGTCTTGGGTAGTGGAAATTGAAGTGGAGTATCGGACTAAAAACTATACAAGAAAAGTACAGAGATTTTGGAAAATAATAGCATGAGAAGTCAATCGGAACTTTACAACTTTCAGTTCAAGATCAAAGCGAATATCTGGCCTGTCTGAACCGTATCGATTCATTACTTCATCATATGTCAGTCTTGGAAAAGGATTGGGCAACTGGATACCCTTGATACCTGCAAAAACCTGTAATGGATAATGCCCTCACAGATCATATAAAAGAAATACAAGTGTAAAGAAAAGAAAAGCGGATATGTGATGAAGTTGCTTCAAAACATGACTTTAAACTAATGGCCATATGTAACTAACTTTTCTAATCAATTCTTCGTTGAGCTTCAGCATGTCCTCTAAAGAAGTGAAGGCCATCTCCATATCTAGTTGTGTAAACTCTGGTTGCCTATCGGCTCTCAAATCTTCATCCCTAAAACACCTGCAGCGAAGAATACATTAGAAAACTAATAGCAGGATAATTTCTGACTTATTCACATCTCTAATATTGTATCTGCAAGCATGAGCAAATCAAGAATTTGAAAAACTTATGCAAAGCAAGACAGTGACAATATGATCTCAAAGGTGCATTAAAAAAACAATAAACTAACCTTGCTATCTGATAATATTTGTCAAAACCAGATACCATTAGCATTTGCTTGAAGAGTTGTGGACTTTGAGGCAATGCATAGAATGCTCCTGGCTTTTTATGAAGAAGAAAGTTACCATGTCATGAACACATTCTCAAACCTTCCTTAGTAAATTTCAGCTAAAACAAACTTGCAAATATCTGATAGGGAAGGCAAAGCTTAGATTGCACAGAGGTAGAGCTAAGAAGGTGTCGTTGGTAAGACGTAATGACTAATGAAATACTCTCTCCATCCCGCAAATAACTTTACACTTTAACGTCACAGATTAAAAGAGAAAATTTGGTCGTTCGAATTAGTTTAGAATCGAGGAACATTTTGAGCCACATATTCTTTTCCTAGAAAGGAAATGTGCATGTACAGTTTATTTTGAGATGGTCAAAAAAATAAAGTGTAAACTTCAATCGGGGACGCATAGAGTATAACATAATGAAATCAAATGAAAATTTAAAGAAAATATATGATTGCATTGTAGTAGTGCTTACCAAATGTTATGGAAGAGAAAACATCACTAATACCACCACTATTAATAATCAAATATATTAGATGACACAAGCCATGACGTAATATACTTTACACAATTAACGAGGACTGGAGATAAAGGATAACCATGGGCAGCATAAACAAAAAATGCATAAAAACATCATAAATAAAATAACAATTAAGGGGTGCATAGTACCTGTATTCTAGAAGGCACCAAATAGTCCCGGGCACCTTCAGGAGTAGACCTGGATAGGATTGGCGTCTCAATCTACCTCACAACCATGGGGAAGATTAGGATCGACACAGAGAACAAAGAAAATATAGAAGAGGCATTATATCTTGCATTGGTATAGAGATTCAAATAGAATTCAAGCTCAATACCTCCACAAAACCATGTTCATCCTCCAGGTACCTTCGTATCAATTTCACCACATTATGTCGCAATAATATGTTGGAATTCATCTTCGGACGGCGTAGATCAAGACACCGATACCTATAGTCTATCAATGTAATTAATGCGAGCACATAACACTAACAGTGAAAAGGCTTTAGTTATAGTGGTTTTAAAGATAAGGCACTAGATTATCGGTGACAATTATAAATGGTACTCGTACTACATAGGAAGGATCAAGACAGAAATAATACAAAAAAGATTAAGAAACAAGGTTGTGTTTCCATGCAAACTGCTTTGTTCTTTATAATTGCATTGTTACTCAAGATCATAAAATGCAACTAACTCTTAGATTAGGAAACATCAATTTATTTTGATGTGAATTAAAACAAAAAATACACATGAAAAAGGTGTAAATGTCAATGAAATAAAATAAAATGATGATGAATGATTGAGGAACTGCAACCAAATGGGAGGAGTAAAAGCATTTGAAACATACATTGCTCTAAAAGAGAAAATTTGATATAAAGACACTACAAATTACCGTTGGACATTGAGTGCATGTACGTTATTATAATTAAACAGACTTCATTTCATTACCTCAACCGTATTTCCTCTTTAGCAGAATCTTTTGAATCATCAGAAGTAGTGACCAAGAATGGCAACTTCATTTGTACTGCATTCAACACATGTACATTCCTTGCCGCAACCTGTTCAAGGAAATAGTTTACAATGTTCAGTTATTATCACACACATCATATAGAGCAATTCTTTCTACTCGTTACGGTAGAGGTAAAGTCTGCATACAGCTCGCCCTTCAAACCCTACTCTTGAGCGGGATATACTGAATTTGTTAGACTCGGTTTGGTATCATAAGACTATGTTTGGGTTAAGGAAAATGATAGGAAAAAGAAAAGAAAATGATATGGAAAACAATCTTTCATGTTTGGTTATGGAGGAAAAGAGAAGAAAAGTGGAATGAAAAGAAAAATGAATAGAATTTAAACTAAAAAGGGGAAAAACAAATTTACTCCCAATTTGGTGAGGAAAATGAGAGAAACCCTATTAAGAGCAACCAATTCATTGCTCAGTTTCTCACCTCTCTCCCTTCAATCCCTCTCACTCAATTTCTCCCTCTTCTCAGCCACGTCTTCTCACCAAAACTCATGAAAGAACAATATTTTCTAAACCGATTTCTCTAATAACCAAACAAAATTAGGAATTTGGATTTCCTAAACCCTAAATTATCTAAGGAAGCAAAACAACTACTTAATGAGAATTAACCATCATCAACCTCAAGTGAACCTGAGATTAATACTATGAAGATGGAGCAGTATGACTAACCTCAATCGTGCCAGTTTTCATCTTCTTATTGACAGATTCACCTGGCCGAGGCCGCACAACACCTTCCACGGAGATCACATACTCAAGTCTCAAAGAATTCACAGTTGAATGGGCCTCGGGAAATTCATCTGGAAGTGTAGTAATCTGTAACAAAAAAAACTCTATTTTATCAAGGAGGAAATTTCATTAATGTAATCAAAGCTCTACATGATCAAGATTCAGTCCAATCAACACCTGTACAATCCCAGTATGATCTCTGAGGTTGAAAAAAGTGAGGCCCCCGTGAACCCTATGGAAGGCGACCCACCCGCAAAGCCTGACCCGTTTACCCACATCGGATTCAGACAATTCGCCGCAATATCTCGTGCGGGTGACCCATTTCAGCTGCCCATTGGACTGAATTGGAGGAATCTTGGAATCGGATTCTGCAGGAGAATCTGGAGTCGCAGCAGAGAGTGAGGAAAGGCTGCGTCTTGGGAGAGTTCTGAGAAGGAAGAGGGGACTGATGGGCGAGAGATGTCTGAGAGTGAAGGGTTTGGAACGAAAGGCGATGGCGGGAAGTGAACGGAGAAATATTATGGACATGGCAGCGGGAAGGATGGTGGTATGGCGGCCAACGGGAGTGGCAATTTAGACGGCGGAAGACCGGACGATGCTACTGGAGACCGGAGAAGTTACCCCGGCCCATTTGAGAATTAACTTACAATTTCTGATTTTGTTTTGGTCTCTTTGAAAATAGCTTATTAATGCTTTGAATAAAATTTAAATGTTGCAAATTGATTTTGGTCTAATGCTTTGAATACTTTGTATTCAAGACGAGAATGTTAATCTCTAAAGTTATTCTCAAAGAGACCCTTTATCTCAAAATACGTATTTATATTCTTTTCGTTTGAAAGTTATTTTCCCGTTGCGTGTTATAATATTTTATCAAACTTAGTTTCTAATCATTTTAATATTTTAAATAAAAAACATTGTGAAATTAAAAAATAAAAATTACGTACGTATTTAAAAACTAAATTAACAGATCTACAAAATTAGAGATGATGTTGACAAATTTTTTATTTTAAGACCATGTTCATTTCATAGACTTTAGTGTATTTGTAGCATAAAAAGTGATCATTTTACAAAAAACAAATCCACATACAATCTCATAAAAAATGTGAGAAGGTTCACATTTATATATGGAACTTAGGACTATGTAAAAATTACTCCGGTATATTAGATACTGATTCAAAAATAATTCTATTAGATGTATATTGTAAAATACTTTCAAACTATTGTTTTACCTCACTAATATAACACGTAACTTCTATTTAAAGTAAACTTCTTATGAATGATCTAAAAAAATATGAGGGCATTGATGTTCTTAGCACAATTCGCAAAACATTGGTGTCATTTTTTGTGCCTATTTGTATAAGAAAGAATGCATTCAACATGTATCCATCCTCACAAACCGCATGCTCATCAACATATACCAAATCCACAATAAGAGAACGGTAATCTTACTGGGTAAAGAAAAATCCGGTGTGTAATGTCCCAAACAACACACATCTCGTGTAACAATGACCCGGACAATCTCATTTTTCATGTAGCGTGTGACTCTGTTTATCGAAGTTTTACATACTTTTGGGACAAAAAAGTCTGCGTACACACACCCTCCCCAGACCCAAATCCGGTGGGTTTCAACTGGGTTCTTGTGGTTGCTGGGACAAAAAGAGTGCAAAAAGTGAATACTCCATATAAAGTGACCACTTTCATCGTACCCTATGAGATATCTGTATGTAGGTCAAGAGTCTCTTTAGGGCATTGCCACTGTCTATGGCCTCTCTGGCTCGGTCCAGGGCCGTGGACACATCTTCCGCGCCCTCGCATCCTAGGAAATGATCAGCAATTCCAGCATTTAACACAATCCGATCATATGCTGGACCTTTCTCTCCGCGCAAGGCAGCTAAACCCAATTCTATATTCCTTGCAACCTGAGATGTTTTATAATAAAAATGTTATTCCTTGCAACAAACTTTGTTTAAGTAACTATGATCGATTAAGTGTTTGGCAGACCATTTCGGGGGGGAATTTTCATAAAACCCAAAAATCTCAAGTTAAAAAAACTCAATGTATGTCTTCCAAGAAATAAAGGGTTGTATTTAACAGCTTTACTCCAAACACTGAATCAGAATGATATAAAGCATGCTTTCAAATTTCTTACACAAGCACTTCCTATGTGCTATGGATTATAGGCGCGAGGAAATAAAAAACTCTATAGAGTAATAAGTCTATTCAGATAAGCATAATTCAAAATGGGAAGAATGCATATTGAGCCATACCGATCTATCTGTTCTGGGAGTGTCAGTGGGTGCAAAGCCGTAATCCTCTGCATTCACCACACAGTTAAAGCTCTCACGTGACATGCCTGCAACGATAACAAAGCATGAACTCTAATTTCATTTTTATATTAGGGTATGTTTGGATCGTGGAATATGCTAGGGAAAGAGAGAAAAAGATACGGAAAGTTATTATCTTATACATTTGGTTTAGCCGCAAAATATGAAGTGCAAAGGAAAATGAAATGCCATTAAGTTTATAGAGTACTAAAATTTGCATATATTTAGATTTTTAAGTCATTATATAATAGAGTCCTTACCTATTGGTTATCAAATTACATCTAGAATGCATTTATTGAGTCCTTACCTATCTTTTATTTTCCCTCACTTATTGTTCCTTTCAATTTTACTCAAATTTCCCCTTCCTTTCACATTTTCCTTGTATTTTTGGAATCCAAATTGATCATTAAAAAACTAGGAGAGTAAATAGGTAAAGTTAGTAACAAGTCCATACCATCTGCTGCATTAGCAGGTGTCGTATTTACTGAATGATATCCAGAACAGTAATTTACTGGCAGGCCTTTTGATGCATTCATTGATCGTGATTTGGTGGTCATGGAAAGTGCACCTTCCTCGCCCTGCATATCGAACCATCACTATAATTTAGGTACTTGGTTATGGCCAGATGCGTTTNGGGGGGGGATTACGCATTAGGACAGTTACATACTTTCACCACCAAACCAGAATGAACACCTCTCCTCCTCATAAGCATTAAAAGCGGCTCTTCATAACCATCATGATAGAAGCCTGCAACAATTGCTTCCTTCCCTCGTGCCTACGAAAACTCAGAAGGTAAATCACATTAGAAAAATCTTATGAGAGTTTCAAATTCATGAAGTAACCAATAACTCCTAATGACAATCGATATGATCGTTTTGGAATGGGCAATCTCACAACCTAAATCTATTTACAGTTTTACACATCCATAATTCCATTCACATGGAGGCTTTATAAGTTAAAAAACTGGTGGGGGTGTAAAAACCATTAGAGCGTCCCTACTAATTCCCTTCCATATCATCACTTTCCAATGTCACATCATTTCCCCCTTTCATTTCCCTTAACGCACTCTAATCATTCCTCTCATTCTTTTTTTCTTCTCTTATATGTGGGCCCCCTTTTATTTCCCTTAACCCACTCTGTTCATACTTTTTTACCATTTTATTTTTCAACTTTATATTATTTTTTCTTAAAAACAACTCTATATTACTCGTACGGAGTATTTAATTTCATTCTAACTAATTTATTTATTTCTTCTTTTAAGCAAAATTTATTTCTAATTTTATTTTATATTTTCTATTTTACAAACATTTATAAACAAAAACTTTATTTTTATATAATCTACGAGTAATTTTTATTAAAATAAATAGATAAAAAAGAGTATTAAATTTTCATATGGTTGTTGGAAGCCAACGGTTATGTTCAATTTTTTTTATTTCAAATGGTCAAACCCAAAAATAATAAGTTTGAATGTTGAAAATGGTCAAAAGAGCACTATTTTTATGTGGGTGTTGGAAGCCAAAAGTGTTTTTAAAAAACAGAGAAGGTGATTTTTTTAATTTCTTAATTTCTAATGGTCTAAACCCAAAAAAAACCAAGTAGACTGATCATTTAGTTCTCTCTCAGGGGAGCAATATGAAATATTTGCACTAAATAGCACTAAAACTTAAGTCATTTCCCTAAATAGCACTTAAACTGTTTTATTCCCTAAATAGCACTTAATAATGTCCATAATGGCAAATATTTACTTGAATAATGACTAATGCATAATGACTAAAAGTGCTACATTAGGAAAAAACACACGTGATGCTATTTAGGGAAAGTCATTATGTTTTAGTGTTATTTAAGTAAATTCCCCGGAGCAATATTCCCCCACTTCAGCCCCCCCCCCCCTCTAACCATTCCTCCCCCATTTGCTTGGTGCCAACTAAGCAATTCCTCAAAGCTACAATTTCTATAAGCAAAAGCAATGTATATAAAAGTGATAATTCAGATTCATCTTACCCTTACTAATTGTTGAACCTTTTCTGCAGTTGCCAATGGTGGACGCTTCTTTATATGCTCCCTCAGCCCAACCAAAGAATATCTGTGACAGTAACAATATTATTAGGAATTTAAAAATCAAGAAAAAAAACTATGAGATTCACATCTAAACAGTTCAACCAAATCAGTACAATTTCCATGTTGAAAGAGAAAAGGAAAAGATTGATGAGTAGTAACATGTAAAATTTACGCACAAAGATGGATGAGCCTCACGCTGACTGACATAAGCAAAGCCAATCTCTTCATCCTGGAAACAACTTTGATGTATTAAACATGTGGGACTGAATTTTTACATTACGAGAAGGGTGGAAAGGGAGGAGAATTCCAGAAGGGTTGGACTGTTGGAGGACCTCTAGAATCTTTTTAGCTTGAAGTGGTGATAACTGTGTATATGCACCCATGAAGTTTAACATTTGCTCTTCGGTGACACCTCCCTGAACATAGAAACTGCCTTCAGGTTGTAAAATAATTGATATAAACCCCTAAGATAACTACATCTAAAACTTTAGACAGTACAATACCCCCCTCTATCTCAAAATAGACTTCCAACTTTCTTTTTTAGGTTGTCCCAAAATAGACATCTCATTTCCTATGAGGAAATAAGTGTTTGGTTCCTTTTGTTTCTTTTATTTCAAAATAAATCTCAACCACAAATCTTTTTTCTTAATTTGCATGCCAAAAGTAAATGAGAAGTTTATTTTGGAACGGAGAGAGTATATTGAAGCAGTGAGACTATAGTGTAGAGATAATTATAAACTTGATGTCAGCTCCATATTTCCAAAAAATTATTAATCTGTTTATTAAGCTAGTTCCAAGTGGCTTCCAACAAATCTTGAGGGACACTTTAATTATTCGTATCAGTTATAGTAAGAACATGAATAAGAGACAAACTATATACGGAGTATAAGTGTAGCATATTATTTAAAGAAAAAATACCTTTGGTGGCATCCAATCCACACCATGAAGCAAGCAAGATTCACCATAGCAGGATCTAACAGCAGCAACAAATAAAGTGCTTCTGAAGTATCGGGTGTTTCCATCATAAGGTTCACCATAATGGGTCAATGATTTAACATCAGCAACTGGCACAGGGCCTGGATATTTTTACAATGAATGAAATTCAGTCTCTGTTTGGTAGCCATGATCAGTAATTCTACGTATTTTCTATTTTGCTTCTGTGAAGAATATGTGGCTTTTGGTCTACTTATTTGGCTGAAACGGATGTTACTAAACACTTTTTCTTTCAGAAAACCTAAAAGAATCAGATTCAGCAGTTTCAGTCAGACTAGCCATACCAAAAAGAACCTAGATGGACATTATTCATGACAACGACCAAGACTCAAGTATGAAGCCAATACCAACTCCTTGATACAGAAAGGCATTACCTAGTTCATCATCAAATGCAAGACAATATGCTTTAAGCTCACGATCAGACTCCCTGTTCATACGTTGTCCTATCAGAAATGCTGAAAGCAACGTCTCACTCACACCAGACAATGTGCCATCTTCTAATCGTTGTGGAATAACATCTTTTAGAACACCCTGAACCTCCTCATATCCAAGATGACCTCCAGCCAAAACTTCTCTCAAGGCACCCACAAGTCGCATCTCAGAGGTGTTATTCCCAACAAACTGAGGGCCTATGGAGCTGCCGATCCCCATCAAGGAGCCTTCCGGATCAGCTATAAAAATTATGTCTGGAGGGAGAACACGAACCAACTCAGGCCAAAAAACATCCATAGCTCGCCTTTCCCCATCACTCCATTGTGTTGCCACTGGAAATGCATTTGCTCTGATAGTCATTCCAGCAAAGAACGCCCCGAGTTGTGCTTTTGACACTGTCTCTTCATCTTTCAGCTCTCCCTTAGCTACCATTTTAAAACTAATAACTACTTCAAAAACTAATTTTCCATGATCTATAATAATTTCTCTACTACTACGTATATATTTAAGGCAGCATAAAGGATAAATTATTCATACATTCCAAAGACAAGGCGTGTAGTTAGAAAATTTAAATCATCAGTGAATATATATGAAGTAACTAAAGTCAACCGTAATATAAAATCAAAGGTACCAGATTTCAGAATGGTTTGTAAGACTTTGAACGCTTGCTCTTCGTTGAGAGGTCTGGTTTGGGTCGGGCCGGTGCAGACCTTAGCCTGAGCATCCAAAACGGTCTGATTCGGCTTAGGAAAACTGGAATCCCGATATGAAGTCGAGATTGCCGGATTCTTCAGCTTCAACTCGAAAGGATCCAATTCCTCCACTGCAGCGCAACTCTGAATGGCTTTGACGGCGAACGACAACCGACTCCTTCTGCCGGCAGCCGGGAGACGGACGTGAACGGAGGACCGGTGGCGGAAGCGCCTGGATTTGAAGGCGGCGATGGAAGGAAGTGATGACGCGCCGGGATTTCGAACTACGGCTTCCATGGCTGTCCCGGATCTCCCCTTCCGATAAGCGGCTTCTCCAGTGTTCTTTGACTTCGTTTGGCCCGGGGAGATGGTGACGCGCACGTGGAATCGATCTAATGGAATTGCACACGTGGAAAATTTGAACCAATCAAAAACATCTTAGTCAGTGTGTGGTAAGTGAGTGGAGTGGCATGCTATGTTACACTTTTTAATCTTTTTTTATGTATTTTAATTATTAAAAAATATTTTATTTATCTTTTTTTTACAAAAATAGATAGGCATACTCTATTAAAAAGCAAAGCTGTTTTTTATACAAATTAAAAAATTAAAAAAGAAAAACAAAAAGAAAAAAATGTGCCTCGCACTTTACTCGCAAGTCAAGTAAGAAATAGTTATCATGCCATGGTTTTGGAGGAATACTGCTGAGTTGGCAGGGCGAGGCACTCACAACCCTCGCCGCTGCATATGCTCTAATACAGTCATCTCGTATCTGTGAAATTGCACCAGTAACAAAACACCACCCGTTACATCAGAAACGGATATTTTTAAAAAAAAAAAAAAAGTCTTATCCCAAACAAAGCTAATAGCCAAGTTTCATTCCTATCATGTCTTAAAATTTTCCTTCACTTTCTGTTTATTACGAGTATATTTGATCGATTTTATTTTCAATTCAATTTATTTGATTGTAGTGTAAAATTTAAAAATAAAATTTATATATTTAAAAGCTACATCAAAATCTCTATAAAACAAGATGTGACAAAATTATATTATTTTATCAAATAACTAACGGAAATAGATAAAGAAAGTGATTAAAGTTTGACCGTGTGAATAGTAACTGAGAAAAACGTTTTAGGAAGGAAGTATCAAGTAAAAGATAGAATGAAAAAAATGATTTTCGAAGAAAAAAAATAGAATGAGAAGATAATTTGAAATAGAAGAAGTACATTCAAAGATAACCGTTTTCTCTAATGTGATCCTCTTAGGGTATCGTGTGGCTTGTTATGAGGGATCTTATCGAATGAGGGTTTATCCTTTTTTAGGAACTTACCTATATAGCAACTAAAGCATAATGATTTTTTCTAAATAGCATTAAATATGTTTTTTTCGTAATGTAGCACTTTTAGTCATTATTCAAGTAAATATTAGCTATCACTGGATATTATTCCTCTTTCTAGATATTATTAAGTTTTAGTTAGGGAATAAAATAATTTAACTACTATTTAGAGAAATGAATTAAATTTTAGTGTTATTTAGTGCAAATATTCCATCCTTTTTTAATGAGCGAATATCAAAAGTTTGGAGTTCGGACACAAATATTTTATATTTAATGTCTCTGGATGCATAGACATTAAATGTCATATCTTTGTATAACCTTTAGAGAGTATTTAGTGTCAAATATTTGGTGTTTACTAACACTACCTAATTTTTATTGATTGTCTACTCCATATTAACGAAGAAAATCACATGAACAATCTCGTACTTTATACATATAGAAATCATAAAGCTACAGATAGATGAAAATCACACAAATTGTGTTAGAATTTAAATCTGAGACCTTATATTCAGTTATCTCCCTAAGAATCATTTGAACAACCCAAACATGTTATCAATTAAGGAGTACATGACATTTCAAAAAAAAAAAATAGAGTACGTGATACTTCATAGTCTCGTCAATCATATCAAGTTTGGATTCATTACTGTAATATCTTATTTGAGTTATTTCAATTTCAAATTTGTTATGACTATTTTAGATTCTAAGTATTATCGTGCTTGGGTTTTTTGGGCGTGAGTCAATTCAAATTCAAGTTAATAAATGTTTCTTCAATGTTCATGGAGTAATGTTAGAGTCACAAACAAAATAGTCACAAAATGCACAAATTTATTATTTGTAGTTTTTATTTTGTAATTACTTGGGACGATTATTTCAATCCATTATTTTACATATATGAGAAGTTTGTAAATTTTATGAATATTTTATTTGCGACTCTAGCATTATTCATGTTCATGATTCACTCCGCAAAAGGCGCAAATTATACAGAATACTCTCCATTTTGGGGCTTTTCTAATTAAGTTAACAAAATGCACGAGATGAATACATAATTAGTTGAGAAATCATGGATAATGTTGAACCCTAAGCTGATGAAATGTAATAAAAGCTCGTCTGACCATTTTGATCAATCTTTGTTGCGCATAATGGATTTATACAGCTTCTGGGGCAAAATAGTCCCAAGAAAATTCAGGAAAAAAGGGTAATGTGGCAGCATCTTTCTCCATGCTTATAGCAATATGCTGAAGTCCCCAACTTCATTGATGACTTTCTCTACCTTAAGGAGCATATCTGTACAAGTTATGTAGTACACATTAAAAAAAAAAAAGGAATCATAGGGTAGATTAGCACCTTCCCAGTGTGGGGGTGCCCCAGGAGAGAGGGACTTAAATGCTTAAAAGCCTTTTTTAAAGGCTAAACAATATTCTGTCTCCAAATAGGATACAAACAACAAAGAAACTTGTTGTGAGGCATATTCCAAATAGCAATATTCTCATAAAATGTACCTTGAAAGGAGGAATCTTCCATATATTTCTGCAACAATATACAAAGAGAGAACATTGTGCTTGTTAATACAGTTAGGTTCTGCATGTTCAGAAATCAACTACGGAGTACAACTGAGAGAAAAAGAACTAATAAATAGTACCGCGATTTGGGCTTTTAGATCCAAGTCTTGTGATGCAGATGGTTGTGCTGTAACCGGTACAGTTCAGTCAAAAGGGATATCCAGACACACGGAGATGAAACATATTTATGTTCAATTAAGGTTGAAGGAGATACATGCCTTGTTCATCAATGGCAGGGCCACAGCTCTTCAGGAACGAAGTGAAGCTGGGTGGAAAAGATGAGAGAACTTCCTCAACTTCACGCTGCAGTCTCATATCCTGTGGTGGATTTGAATCTTGAGAAACTACATAGCTCTTGCTCGCCTGTATCTCATAGGTACCTTCTGATGTTGAAGGCGTTCGTTCTTTGATAACCCTGAGTGTGCACAACAGCATTCAATAGATTCAATCTTATAGGCTCTGCCACTTCCATTTAACTCTCGTTAAATTATACCGATATTTATTTCCGAAAAGAAATGATCGATAAAGGAGTAAGAATTACTGCTATATTGACAACCTGTGTGATGCTTCATCAGTAGGGATGAACTCAGATTGAGATGAGATTCCAGAAGCAACTGGAGGACATAATAGAAGTGGAATAGACTTAACATCATCCAAGCTTTCCTAGAAATAGGAATAGAGTAAGAACTTTGTTTCTTAAAATTCGAGTATAAGGGATTGGCATTAGAGGAATAGAAATTAATATAATGACAGCTCGATCATTGCACCTTCAAGTCAGTCATAAACTTTTCTACTTCATAGATCGTCAAAAACCGTAAGCCAAATTTCTGAATCTGCAATCACCGAAACAATATACTGTGACAGATTAGTATTGCACTAAAATTTGGACTCAATGTCATGAACCCCAACTCATGCCATTGGATCAAAGTTGCAGGCGCAAACATATTTGTTTTTTAAGAAAAGCATAACAGAACATTGATAGTGGCAAAATAAGTGAATTTTCCACTCCATATTATTGTATTAAATTCCTATAACAACACGAAGCTGTTCAAGATGCGTAGAAGACGGTTTAATCTAATTGTTTGCATTGTTCCTCAAAAATGAGTATGTTCGGAAACTCCAACAAAAAAATTAGACAAGATTCTAAAAGGTATAGATCCTTGCCTGGCCTGCACCATCCTTATAGCTAAAGAAGACTGATCTTGTTCCTCTTGAAGGGAATCCAGATACGCATGAGACCTGAGGCCAAGCGTATTGCAGCCGCGAAATGTAGTGCTCTTCCTGCAGCACCCTCAAGTATTACAGACATTTGAAACCCTAAAAGCATAATTTAGCCCCAATTCGAGGTTCTCAACATAGATCAGAGAAACGTATTTTAGGCAAATCTGGACAATCGGATAGAGCAAATCTAACTTGTTTCATCTACAATTTGGCAGTGAACGTCACATGACTATCATCCATGGATTATTATTATAACAAAAGCTGAAACGGAAAAACATGAATGATCGATCGGAGAAGAACAAGTTCAAATCAAGCACCAGCAACGTTCTATTTTATGAAGTTCGGATTAATGTTATATATCGAGGAGAGTATACTTACGAGGGTTTTGGAGCCGATAGAGACAACGAGGATCAGATCAATAAGATCGCCGTCGCGAACGGCCAGTAGTTTGAGAGAGGCGGAGGCGGAGGTGTAGGGTGAGGTGGAGATCCATTTGCCGCCTCTCCGCGCCTTCCGCGTATTGGCCGAGTGAGGTACCAGAGAAGGATGAGACGCGTGAGGAGACGAAGGAAACACCACGAAGCGAGCATACTGAACATCCCACTGGCCGTAGACGGAGCTGAGATCGTTCGATGACGGCGGCTGCTCCGTCGCTAACCCTTCACCCGCCATTTTTTTTCAAAATTTTCTGCTCTTCAAAATTGCTCTTCCCTTCACCCGTTTAGCGCATGGGCGGCTCCGTTTGCCAACACAGGATACCTTAATGGACGAAGGAAATGATTTTTTTAACACTAATACCCCTTGTGCAATACTAGAGGTATATTTTTAAGAGTGGTTCAGTGGTCATTAGATTTCAGTGGTCACGGAAGTCACTGTCTCCCTACGATAATCCGTTCGTAAAATTTATAATTCTTACCTCTCTTAACTCCGAGTAAACCTCTCTGCCCAGTCCCGACTCCAATTCTTCTCCCCACCTATGTCAATTGCACCCTGCAAGTATAGTTGACTTTAAAGTCTAAAATTTTGACCTCAAAGTCCACTAAAATTGCGGGCTGTAATTGACGTAGGTGGGGTGAGTTCGGGTCGAGACTGGACATGGGGGGTTACCAGGGGGTTAGGAAGGATATGAATCATCAATTTTACGACTGGAGCATCGTAGGTATTTGAATCGGGACAGTGGCTTCCATGACCACTAAAACCCAGTGGCCACGGGACCGGGCCGATATTTTTAATTGAAGTGTCAGTCATTTGCCGATAAGACCTTAATATTTAAAATCTAGTGTCAGTCATTTCCCAATAAGATCTTGTGCACTGAAGGTATTTTGGCCTTTTGATTTTATAAGAACACAAATAGAATATTTTTTACATGGATTGAATTACAATGCTATGTACATACATGATACATATCAAATAATTTTTCTTTTACATTTTTATCTACATAATTAATAACACTACCTAAATCACTATGCTCTAATGTTTGTTTCATTTTAGATTTCTAAATTTATTTTCTATACAATTTCATTTTAGGTTTCTCTTTGAGATCTTTTAAATGACAAAAAATATATCTAAATAACAACATTGTTTGTAAATAGAAACTAATTAAATTAAAACTGTCATCACACTTTAATAATAGTACTCCATAATACACTCATTAATAATACCATACTCTAATCAAAAAAGGCTAAATCTTTTTAAGTTAACATTTCCCACAAAATTCGAATATATTACTAATAAAAAAAGATCAAATATAAATAGGACTTGTTCCTTGGATGATTGCTAGCCTTTGTAAAAATGTGTTGAACTCCTCATCTGTTGACACCATACTTACCCTTGCAAACATATTGTCAACTCCAAATCTTGTCCCACTCCTAGCAAGAATCCTCTGTTCCTTCAGAAGCTCCGCGCAGTCCATTCCACCCTCGTTGCTCGTCATCCGAATCCACGCAAAAGCTGTTTTACAAAATAAATTATTCAAAAAATTCAAAAAAAAAAATCAAATGAATTTTTTTTAGATTTCAAAAGTTTCGAGAAAAGCGGGACATGCCTGGGAGAGTGTCTGTCATGTCTTTGGCGAAATGACAGTACTGGGTGGGGTATTTCTGGAGAGTGAAGAGATTGCCAGCCTTGACAAGCTGGGAAAGCCTTTGCCATCTTTCCCTCAAGATATTCCTACTAAAAGAAAAGAAATCTTCTTCTTCGTCATCTTCATCTTCATCTTCAAAGCCCTCCTCAGCACCATGGCTGCAGCAGCTATCAGAAACCACCCCAAGAATCTTGGCTGCTCTCAGCTGCGAATCCTTCGACACTCCAATGGTGCTCACCTCCATGTACTTTATCATCTTCTTCGCAACTTCTTTATCCCTCACCAATGCCCATCTGCATTCACAACTCAATACCCATCACCACCACCACGTGTTACAGAATCATCATCAACAACAAAAACAACGCGCTTTCAGTGTTTTTATACCAAAATAAGACGATTCTTGGGGATGACAAAAAGTAAGAAAAACGTCAACTATAACGTGTCGAAAACGAAGAGGTTACCCGATTCTTGAACCGGCATGGCCAGTGCACTTGGAGAAGGTGAAGAGCATGAGGTCATGGTCAGCAGCAGAGGAAATGGCAGTGTAGTTTGGCCAGTAATAGGCCAAGTCATATATGACAGTTCCTTGAGGCTTGTTAACCACAGGCTCTCTGATAGCCCCATCTGGGTTGTTTGGTGTGGTTACCAGCTCTATGTATGGTTCATCCCTATCATATTTCCTTGCATCTCCTCCCCATTTGTAGCTCCTTGATCTCACTATGTCCGCCACCTCCGGATATGACTGCACCCAATTATTATCGTTATTATTATTATTATACTCCATCTGTCCCAAATTATTTGTATTCCCGAAGCAAAATATCAAGTTTTTTCAATTCATTTTATTTACATATTGGTAAAGAAATAAAAAATAAAATTTACATATAAAAAAAACTACATGAAAAGTTCTTCAAAATAAGAGGTGTCAAGAATATTTTATTTTATTAAATAATCAATGAAAACGTCAAAATAAACAAAAGTTCTCGACACGAAAAAGCAAAATGTTGTGAATATTTAGAGACGGAAGGAGTATCAATTTTCAGTAAAATCTCACAAAAAGTAAGGTCTGAGGGACAACTAAAAATCTCGGAAGCAGAGAGGTCGTTTCTAGAAGACTGGTGTGAATTGACTATTTAGCCCTAACGACTAACGATTAAGGATCGGGACAACTAAAAATCTCGAGTACCAATTTACCATACCAGCGGCAAAAGAGGAAAAAGAGTTACTCGTAGGAGTCGTAGCCTAGGTAAAAACATAACAGTAGCAATGTACCATTGTGCGGTTAATAAGTACTCTCCACTATGTAACTTTTTTTTTACTTTGTGCGGTTACATTGAGTAATATTTGCTCGGTTTCAAAATATTTTACACTTTTTACAAAACAACGTACTAGGGTACTACGTATCTCTTATCATTAATGAAGATTCCCAAATAGTAACTTATTTATCATTTAAGTCATTTTAGTTTCATAAAAAAATATTTGATTTATAAATAAGTTATAAATTAAAAATTATTTATCAGTAATAAGCAATAAACACCAGCATACAGGAACACCCTCAATATTTAGGGTTTATCATACCCACTTTTGTGGACACATCCTTAATCACGAGTGTTAAAATTACTCAGGGTCCGTTTGGTATACGAAATTGACGGAATTGGAATTGAATTAGAATTGGAATTCTATTGGTTTCAATTCCATAGAATTGAATTCTACCAATTTCTATTCATTTTTTGCATTATCAATTCCAAATCCACATAATTTTTCTACTACCAAATATTAGAATTGGAATTGAAGTCCTCAATTCCAATTCCATAATTTGAATTCCCTATACCAAATGGAGCCTCAAAGACAATTTTTTTAATTCATGTTATTTTAAAGATTAACGTAAAACAAAAAAATAGAATTTACATACTCCGTATTTAAAAAATTAAGTCGGAAGTTTTCAAAGCAAAAAAGTGATAAATACGGAGTACTTCACCTGATATGATTGTAATAAGTTCTGATATAAACTGGTCAGAATGAATTTCTTTTAAAAATTATTTCTAATCTGATCTAGTTTGATCTGATTTGCATATGAATAAGTAATAATGTGTAAAAGGTATGAAAAAACAAATATTTATGTGAATTTAAAATATTCAAAATTGACATTCTTCTCGGAAAGGGATATGTTAGGGGAATAGGGGGGGAGGGAGAGATATGACTGAAAACAGACCAAATGAAACCAGTGAGTGATAGTGCAAGAAAATCTGAACCAGAGATTTTAATTTTTTCAACCCATTATCATCACGATGGGACAGCCACAGCGATTGGATATGAAAGGATCTCAAAGACTTCTTTTCTTTCTTTCATTACAAATTCAGGTTCTTTTTTTTTTTTTTTGTTTTAAATAAAAAAAGACTGGCAAAAATTTCTTACTTTTTAAAATTATTTTATTTATAAATTGGTATCTCAAGAAGATATAAAAATTATATATTACGGAGTAATAAATTATGTCAAAAGTTCTACAAAACAAGAGGTAACAAGAACATTTTATTTTATCAAATAATTAATGAAATTGCATAAACAAATAAAAATTATCGAGAGAAGAAAAAAATTATAATCTATTCAAGAATGGAGGGAGTACATCTTTTTTTAATTTTTGATGCTTTTTAAATATTGTGAAATTGAAATATACGGAATAAATTTTATTCAAAAAAAAAGGGAAGAAGTATTTGTCAATTCAATAAGATACACCCTTCACCCTATCCCTTGAGTTTTCTAATCACACTTCATACCTTTTGACATGTGGTTTTAGTTGACAAGATTTTGCAAAACAAAAAAAAACTACAAATTCTATCCTCCCTCTTAGAAAAAAATATCACAATTAATTATTTAAAAATCTCATAAATTTTTATTTATTTATACGTCTTTATTCATAATTTGATATAACAAAATGTGTTCGTAAATTTTACAATTAAAACTTTTAAGACGAAATATTATCAGAATTCTTTTTTAACATATGCTTCCGTTTGGTATTCAATTTTTTTAATGCGTCAATATAGTCATAATGATCATTTAAAAAAGAATGAAATGGAGTAAGGAGGTGTGAGAGAGCTGACCGAATAGTACGGGGCAGCACAAACAACGTTGACGGGCAGGTCGGCGTCGGGCGGGGAGAGGGCGTAGAGAGCGGCCTGAATAAGCTGGCTCGACCCCGTCCCCACCACCACGTAATGCTCCTCCTCCACCGCGTTGCCGACGACGCCGTGGAGCCGCCGGATCTCTTTTTCGAGCTCCGGCTCCAAGAACCAACAAATGCTCTTTGTATTTGAATAGTAG